CTGTCTTCCTCAAGTTTCTCCACTTCCCAAGAGAGGGCTCTCTTCACAATCGCAATCGCTTTGTCAATGTCCCGTGTCTGCGCGAGCAGTTGGCTTAACGCATACAGGGTACGCAGTTGCTTTTCGGGCGGGAGATCTTGTGCTGCCGCTTTCTGCAGACATTCAATCGCAGCAGTTTGCAAGCTCGTCCTATCCTCGTTGAAAGGCGTCCATCGAGCCCACTGGGCTTTTCCTATGCCAATGGCTCGGTAGACGGCCTCTAGCAATTCGGCAGAGAGACGGGGAGGAATTGGCTTTTCTCCGTTGACTTCTCCGTTCGTTCCCGCTGCAAAGCCATTGGGGACAGAGTTCGTAGGCGGCAGTTCATGCTCCTCCAAGAGATCTTGGAGCTTGTCGCACAGCTCATACGCCTTTTCCGCCTCAACATGACGTCCAAAAGAGCACAGGCCCTCAATTCCTTCTGCGATAGTTTTCATAAAAACTTCATCGCTGTCTCTGCTTGTCGTCGGAATTTCAGATTTAGCAGCTCCCGCCCGCGCCCGATCCATTAACTCGATGTAGGTGTCCAGAGCCTTGTAAGCCAGGTCGAAGTCTGTCAAGGCTTTGTGTACTTGAAATAAACGGCGCAGGATTAGAGTAGAGTGAAATGATTTTGTGGCAGCTCGATAAAGCATGTCGAGCACGTTTCTACCCCATGAATTGCGACCGCCTTCGCCCAGGTCCGGCTCCGACCACTGAGGACCGCAAAGGATTTGCCAGTTGCAAATGAATTCTTCCACCCACGTTTCTATGACCGTATTAGATTCGGTGGCTTTGGGAAATTGAACGTTTCGTAAGAGTTCGTTCTCGTAAGACGTTTCCACACGCCGTAACTCAACTGCCAAGTCAGAACGTTCGATAGAGACATGGTGAGCCATTCCCTGTCTGTTTTGCAGAACGCCGGACAGGAATCTGTAATAAGCTCTCCATATCTCAAGCTTCGTTAGATGTCCTGGACCGTTGCCGTAAGTTGAGGCCGATACCTCATGGTCCTTACCCGCAAGTACGGCCCAATGCCGGAATGCTTGGAGCCTGAAGGAGGCCGACTCGTGATCACTGACAGTGGCAGCGTCCGCAACTGACAATCTCTGGCCCAGCGCAACCTGGGCAAGTAACTGTTGTGCCCAGTAGAGGAGTTGAGGGGTGGAAACGACGAGGCTCCTATTAGCATCTAGCCAAGGGAGCAGAGAGTCGTGGATTTCTTTTGCCTCCTTGTGTTCCCCAGCTTGTACGAAGAGCATTCCTCTGATGTAAACCGCTTTGACCACGCAGATCTTCGTCCATGTCGAAACGGCGTCCGCCGCGGTTCGCACTGGTTCGAAGGTAACAGCGGGGACTTGACGGTCTGTTTTGTGTGCTCCCACCCAACGCGCCCAAAGCAAGCATGTCTGGCCTTGTACCACCTCTTCAAATGGATGCCCTGTTGCACGGAGTTCCTCTTCGAGGGAAGTAGCTTGGAAATCTGGGACAGGCTGGTTCGTATGGGCAGTGCCGGGTCTTCGAGTTGGCGCGGAAGCGTAGTTGGCGACGTCGTGTTCGAGCCTTGCAACTCGTATCAAGCCTGTCTTAAGGGTCAAGACTGGATCCGAGTACTAGTTTGGGAGGCGTACATTTTCGATCAGGGGCATGTTTGGTAACTTTTCTTATGAGCTCTGGAAATTCTTTCCACTGACCGGCCACGCGCGCCGCCTCCAAAAGGCCGATATAGCGCTGGGCTTTTTCATGATACGTCTGGAACTACGTTAGCCAGGCATCCACAAAGGTACCAGGAACGCTGGGACAGTGTACACTCATTCTGGGAGACGCGGAGAAAGGCTTGTGACTGTCAGTGTCCTATACTCGAGTCATGATTGCAAACATGTTGTGGCAGGTCCATCAGACGTGTCTCTGCTGGTGGCATCCCCGCGCGAGGTTTACACAGCGAAATGCCAGGTTAAACATGTATCATGGGGGAGAAGTGGAAGTGAGGTGTTGTGCACGGTGCTGTAGCCGCCAATGCGCGATGTGGTCATTGGGGGCCGCAGGCACCGCAGTCACCGCAGACCGCTCGGTGCCACTGACCTCGTTAAGGAAAAAAAAAATTATTCCCCGTTCTTCGTACTCGGTACAGGTATGTCCGTCCCGTCTTTTCATACACCAAAACGTTTTCTACACCTTTCAGCAACAGCAATGCAATATGATGGCGCTCTACGGGCCATCGCCACTCGTCTGAGTCTGACTCCAGTTGATGACCTTCCTCGAATATCCAGCTTCCTCGCGACTACGTTGGCTCAATGTCCGGTCGAACTGCTCTCCTCCGACAGCAAAGGCAACAGCTCTTCTGTAACTGCGCACAAACTCAAGACTCGAATTAGCTCCTTGTTGCAAGACAAATCTGCTGCTGGCCGACTTACCGCTGCCGTACTCATCAAGGCCATCGTTGACAATGGCGGCTTGAAGGTGCTCACTAACTGGGAAGGTTGGACAAGAGGCTTGCTCAGCTGTTTGGGGAAACCCGAACCGTTTGAAGTGAAAAGGGTCTATTTGGCTACTGTCACTCGGATTTTTGTCCTCTCTCAGGATCATCCGGTGTTGTTGCGGGAGGTGACAACACCGCTCCTCCCGGCTTTCATAACAACTTGTCTTGGCCTCCTCAAGCCCGTTAAACCTCTTGTTGCTGAAAGCAGACCCACGGATGTCGTTAATCCCCTACTCAAGTCGGTGCTACAATGCTGGATCCTGTTGTTGCCCCAGCACGCGACGGTCTTTCGTCCCTTCCTCACCCGTATCAAGTTGATTTGTCTGAGTCTCCTTGAAGACTGCCGGGGTTCGACGACTACTACAGAGTTTGCCATCCGGCTTCTATGCCTGTTATTGTCCTGCGCACCCAAGAACACAGCGGCTCAGGAATGGGCTCAGACAATTTCCGACCTCATCGGCAGCGCTCATCAGACTGCTGACAGATTATTCAGAGCAGTCCTCGAAGAATATGAATCCAATGACATAACCCGTCAGAGGACAGTCGGAAAGCATGATTTCTCCAAGGAACCGAAGACCTCAAGCACCGACCAGGCAGGACTGGGCCCATGGATTGGCATGCACGACGGCAGCACAAGGCTTGCAATGTTGATGGACTGGTTGACATCTTTAGTCTCAACAGCGACGTCTCAAGCCGTCACGGTCCCTTTAGGATCTATCGTTGACTTGACTGCGCGTATACTGGCGATGACCGTACCTGGAAGCAGGTCAAGTGCACCTGATACTGTAAAGTATAACAAAGAAGCGAGCCGAGAAGAGAAGGACAATCTTTGGATTAACTTGCCTCGTCTCCATGTGTCCAGTCTTCGTCTGCTCCAGAAAATGTGCGAAACATATGGACAGTCCTTTCTCCCAGCAAATGGAGCAATGGTCAACCACATTTTGGAATCATTTGTTGCCATGTCAGCTGATGAGAGGGTCCGGCGAGACGTCTACGCGATTTTCAGCTGTCTTCTGAGCTGCATGAACACCGCCAATCTTGTATTGCGCGAGACCACCTTCTCAACTTTGCTTGAACACTGTTGCAATGACCTGCAAAGAGGCATTCCGGACTTGCATGAGCGAAGAAAAACGAATCCTTCAAAAGATGGGTTCTCGAGTGCCAAGTCGACTTTGTCAGTTGGTGGAGGTCCGCCGATTCCGGAGAGACAGTCTGAGGTATTCCAAGCGGCTTGGAGGTTGTTGCCAGAAATCGTTCTCCATTGTCCGACATCCATGATATCCCGTCAGGCAAGGATAGAAGCGGATAGACTGTCTGTGTTGCTTGATCATCATGATGCCATGCTTGCAAGCGTCATGCGCCCTATGCTGTCCAAGGATGGGAAGATAAGGACTTCCAGTCTGCTTCCATTTCTCGCGAGATCTGCGGCAGATACTCTCGCCGTCGAGGCTCTATTAAGGCCTCGAATGCCCGTTACGCAAGTCACTGATATTTCCACACAAGCATCTCGTGATGGCCAAGCCCATATTGATGATCTGAAGGAGGTCGATATGTCTGATGAGGATGGTGACATCTTGTCCACCCCTCAAGGCCCTGCCGAAGCTGTTGAGCCCAGCTCCGAACGACGGATAACCGATATCGTCGGGCAACAAGACGGAGGCGAGGCGATGCAGGCTATGACGGCGAGGAAGCGAAAACTTGAGGGTGTCCAAGACCGTGATTTTCAATTGCAAGCATCCATATCTGAAGATTCCGAAGTGCCGAGTTCGAGACTGTCTAAGGCGCCACGGCTCGAGGATGACGCCGTAGAAGCGTCGGTATTGGAGGCGGATCGTATGATTGACACATCTATGGCAAAACCTGTGGCTACCACAACATCTGGACTAGAAGAACTTTCCTCCGGCACGGGAGATGCGTCTACTGGAATAGTGACCAAGATGGTTTCCCCTGGAGCCATTGGAAACAGGGACAGTGATAGCAGCGACTTTGAGATCCCGGAAATTGACCCTGGGTTGGACACAGACGAAGAGGATCTTGAGTAAGACGCTGTTGAGGCATCTGGCAGACCCTACTATTTAGTCTTTCATTCTTGTAAACCCGAAATAGTTGTGTTCAAGCTGTGAACAACAAGGATAATCCAATATCTCGTCGTCCACGCACTTTGTCATCTCGGATCTGCGCCGCTGGAAGGATTTTGGGCTAGCGTGTCCTGCGTGTCACAGTCAGGGGCGGCGTCTGCTTGCGTCATTTGATAAACAATGTTTTGGAAGCTCACTTCAGCTTCAATGCCACAGAAACGCGCCTCTCGCGCCACACGCAAAGGACCAATCTGTTTGCTTGCTTGCTTGCTTAAGCGTGCCTTTCTCTTGGGGATCGTTGGAAGCGCGTTGAAAAGTAGCTCTTCCACTTTTATCGGCACTCCATCGGTACTAGCTTCAGTGCAACATCCTCGTCAGATCCACATCCCCAGAAGCTTCTCCCTGACCATCTACCATCAGCCTTCATGACCAAAAGAAAATTACCGTCGTCGGCACCGGAGGTAGTTGATCTGACCGGAGATGATGACTTCCCTGGCCGTTCAGGATCCAAGGTTCCCAAGAAGACCTCGTCTTCCTGCCCCTCTCAGGACCGTGCGCCCCTTCCAACGCCGCCATCGTCTAGCCAGCCTGGATATTCCTCATACCGCCTGACCCAGCCCTACAAAGACTACACACCGAGTCTCAGCCAACAATCCCGCGGCAACGGCGCCCCCGATTGCTGGTCGGCCTCTACTCAGGACCAGGAAGCAGATATTGCCAGGGAAATTGATCTCACCGAAGACTTCGACGACGACGTCTACGAGAATTACCAGCTCTACGGTATCCTCAACACCAAAATTGTGGGCTGTCGATTCTATGACGGCCAAGCTACCGTGGGGGAGTATGTCAGGGTTAGACGTGAACCTAGTAATCAGTACGACAGCAATGCAATTCGAATCGACAATGTCCTCCGTGATCAGATTGGCCATATCGGGAGGAATGTTGCTGCAAAACTGGCAGCCTTGATGGATTCTGGCTCGCTCCTTGTGGAAGGCGCCTTGACAGGGCCAAAGACCTACTACGACTGTCCAATCGGCCTCAAGCTATTCGGCACAAACGATCCCGTTGCAGGTGCAGCTCTTGCCCGTCAAATGCAAGATCTGCATCTGCCTATTACAGAGTACAGTCGTTCGGAAAGAGAACGCAAGAAGCGCCTGGAAGAATTTGAGAAACAGCGGAAAGCAAGAGAAAAAGCCGCCGCCGCAATGCGGAAGCAAGGTACGACGGTCTTTGACAATGAAGGACCAAACAGATATAGCAATTTGAGCGCGCCAGTGGGCATGGGAAGTCAGATGGACCTAAACATGGATCAACTCCTCAGTGGGACTGCTATGTTCAATCCTCGCGATGTGCAGGACGTGGTCAACAAGCTTGCAGGAGGAGAAGAGGTGCTTGCAAACATGTCGATGGCAGACCAGCCTCGCGAGCTTGTTACGGTCCTCTTGCCCTACCAGAGGCAAGGCCTTAAATGGATGCTCGACCACGAATCTCCTGCGTTGCCCAAGAACGTGAATGATGTGGTTCAGATGTGGAAGAAGACCGGCAAGTACTACACCAATATTGCAACCAACTTCTCCTTGAGCGAAGCCCCAGATTTGGCGAGTGGAGGGCTCCTCGCAGATGATATGGGCTTGGGTAAGTCGTTTGCCCTCGACCACGGTTACTAAAAGTCTAATTGGCTAACTCCCTTCTTAGGGAAAACTATCCAGATTATTTCGCTCATTATGGCCGATCCTCACAAGAATGAGGATCCCACTCTTATCGTTGCGCCGCTTTCGGTGATGAGCAACTGGAGCACGCAGGCCGCCGTGCACGTCAAGAACAAATATGCACCACGAATCTTGACCTACCACGGCGCAGGAAACAAGGAATTGTCGCCAGGACAATTGAAAGAGTACGACATTGTCATCACAACCTATCAAACCATGACCCAAGAGCTCTTCCCATACGGAAAGACCGCAGCTCTGCCAACGCCGGCATCGAAGGGCCTATTCTCGGTGACTTGGAGGCGTATCATCCTGGATGAAGGCCACCAGATTCGCAATCCCAAGTCCAAAATGTCACAAGCGGCATGTACCCTTCAGGCGAAGTCTCGCTGGATTCTCACCGGGACGCCTATCGTCAACAGCCTGAAAGACTTGTACTCCCATGTCAAGTTCCTTCGTTTGTCCGGTGGGCTGACGGAATTTGAGGTCTTCAATTCGACCCTGATTCGGCCTCTGAAGCATGGCGACAACGGAGCACGCCTGCTTCTTCAGGCCCTAATGTCGACCATATGTTTGCGACGCATGAAGGACATGAAGTTCATTGACCTCAAGCTTCCCAATATTACATTCCATAAATATCCTGTGAGATTTTTGCCACATGAGAAGGAACGTTACGACGCCTTCAAGCAGGAGGCGAAAGGTCTGGTCGAGGCTGCAAAGGCCAAAAAAGGAGATTATTCCATGACGCACTTGCTCGAAGTTCTCCTGAGGCTGCGCCAGACTTGCAATCACTGGAAGATGTGCGGAGACGAAAGAGTGAGGAAATTGCTGGAGTTGGTCGAGTCGAACGAGGTAGTCGACGTGACCAATTCGGCGAACCGCAAAACGCTTCAGGACATGTTGCAGGTGCAGATTGACTCACAGGAAGACTGCTGCGTCTGCCTGGATTCATTGAACAATCCTGTCATCACAGCTTGCGCTCACACGTTTTGTCGGGGATGCATTGAGAGAGTGATTGAAACTCAGCACAAATGCCCCATGTGTCGTGCAGCTCTCCAGAATAGAGAGCAACTGGTTGAACCGGCAGCGGGGATTGGCGAAAGTGACGAGGTAGATCTCGACATCGATCCCGAGATCACCAGCACCAAGATCGAGGCTCTGGTCAAGATTCTCAAGGCATCTGAAGCTGATTCAAACGTCAAGACCGTGGTGTTCTCGCAATGGACGTCATTCCTCGATCTCGTCCAGACCCAACTCCTCCTCCATGGACTGCAATTTACGCGTCTCGACGGGAAAATGAACTCGACAAAACGTGACGCGGCCATCGATTCGCTCAACAGCGACCCATCTTGCAGAATTATGTTGGCGTCTCTCTCCGTCTGCTCTGTCGGCTTGAACCTCGTGGCCGCCAATCAGGTCATTTTGGCAGACTCGTGGTGGGCGCCGGCGATTGAAGACCAAGCAGTTGACCGAGTCCACCGCCTGGGTCAGACTCGAGATTGTAAAGTGGTGCGCTTGGTGGTGGAGGGTACGATCGAAGACGAAGTGCTTGAGATTCAGGCGAGGAAGCGGAAGTTGGCCAGCGAAGCGTTTGGGGAGAAGGATGGGGGCAGAAAGAGGGAGGAGAGAAGGGCAGGGACGTTGAGGGACATCGAGAGATTGTTGGCTTAAACTGGGGTAGAGGGGATTGGGATGGCGTTATGCAGGAGATGTTGTGGGAAGCACTACACTGTGTAAGGAAGATACTCTGTTCAAATACCCATGGAGAGAGCTGATTAGAGCTGATTTAGTCAGGTGGGAAGGAAGAAGGGCAACAGTGAGTGACCTTCGACTATCTAAGATCGTTGTATTCGGAGTGTTTAGGACGTTTGTAGAAGTCGGTATGCTCTAGCGGTGCTGAGTTAACCATATCTCGTGGGACGCGTCCATCTGCGCTGTTTCTTTTCTCCTCCGAAGGACCCAGATTTATGCAGAAGAAGCGATGCAGTCGCGGCGACTATTGCCTTTGATCAAGCCACCAACGCGTCGGTCCGATGTCAGGAAAATAACACGATAAGGAAAAAGAGAGAAAAATGGTGTGATGGAACGAAAAAACAGAGTTGTGGGCACCATGGCAACCGGAGGATATGCCTGCAAAGTGGGCACCTGTCAAGCCACAAGCCACAACGGACCAGGAACCCCAGCCTCGGGCACCCTTGGACATCCATTGGGGGGTCATTTAGGCTGTCCGGACGTTGCCCAACCTCACTTGACCCCCACTGAGCCTCGCCTAGGAGGCCCAGCTAGCCTAAACAAGCCCGCCACTTGGCCCTTTTGGAGGAAATTGCGCCGTACGGTGCCTCTCGCTAATAGCCCACGGCTTTGCAACGTGCTCGAGCACATGCTTTGTCCCTCTCTGCTGTCTCAAACTCCCCTCAGTTGAGATTCGCAAACACCCCTACGACGAGGACCAGCGACCACATGGAGCTCAGGGACCGATAATACCTTGGAGAATGAATTGCAACCGAGGTTGATCTTGCATTGTTTCTGGGGGGACCATCTGACCTTCTGATCACGGACCGGCAACAACAGTTGCATCACTCGGCAGCAGCCCAAGACGTCACCCCAGACTGTTTGGCCTCTCAGTAGCACCGGTGGCACCGGTGGGTCAGGCAGAGAGCTTGAAGGGGGGAAGCCACCCAGCCAAGCTCGTGGGAGCTCCCACCAATTATTCCAGCTGGCCAGCCCTAGGTGGCTCCCGGTGGCCACTGGGGTCCCTGGTGTCCTGCCTGTATCCGGTGCGGGGGACCCAAACACCACCTTCTCGCGCTGCACCCGTCGCGCAGCCACTCACAACTTTGCAGGCTCTGCACGTCGCAGCTTTCCCTCTTTGCCGTCTGCATCTCGAAAAAAGTGGTTGATCCATCGTCACTCGGTCACCACCCTCCGGCTCTGTGGTCACCCAAAGCCTGCCAGTGCAAGCTACATGTTTTTGCGAATTCCTCTACTTCTCTGAACCCTCTCCCCATTCTCGTCCATCGGCCGGTGGCAGTCTCTCCTTCACGTTCTCCTCTCCCTCGCCATCATGGCACCCATCCGTGCGGCTGTCTTTGCGACGGTGAGAGCTCCCTCGCTCCATAGCTAACCTCGCTGTTTCCCCGCATAGCTGTTTTTTTGTTTTGGCCTCCCTCACTGACGCAAATGTAATTAGCTGCTCATGAATGATGCCTACCTACCAGGTAAGTTGGGATGCATTTCTGTCCAAGATATGTGTCAAACTGATTACCTCTGTAGGGGCTATGGTCCTGGGCCATTCCTTGAAGGATAAAGGTGCAAAAGCTCCCTTGGTGGCTTTTGTGCTAGTCGACAGACTATCCTCCGATACTATCACAGAGCTTCGAGTCCGTTTCCCTACTACCCTCTTTCCAGCACAGGCACTAATGGCCCCAGACCGTCTACGATGAGATTGCACCAATCCAGGAGATCAGAAACCAGAATCCTGCCAACCTCTATCTCATGAATCGAGCCGACTTAGTATCCTCCTTCACAAAGATCGAGTTGTGGCGGCAGACGCAGTACAAGAGAATAGTGTACTTGGATGCAGATATGGTCGCTCTCAGAGCTCCCAATGAGCTCCTTACTCTCGACACAAAGTTCGCCGCAGTCCCAGATATCGGCTGGCCCGATTGTTTCAACAGTGGTATGATGGTGCTAAATCCCAACATGGCCGATTATTATTCTCTGTATGCTTTGGCCCAAAGGGGCATCAGCTTTGATGGAGCCGACCAAGGTCTCTTCAATATGCACTTTCGCGAGTGGGACAGATTGAGTTTTGTTTTCAACTGTACACCAAGCGGCCATTATCAGTATGTCCCCGCCTATCGACACTTCTCCAGCAACATTGCAGTGGTGCACTTCATTGGCAAAGACAAACCATGGACGTTGGGTAGAGACAACAAGCTTAATACAGGTGTCTACGGTGAATTGCTGGGGATGTGGTGGTCTGTATATGACAGACATTATCGACCCAAGGTATGCTGAATTGCGAAGGAAGGCAGCTTGTGGCCAGAGCTGATTTCTGCAGACCGTCACTTACTATGATGCTCAAACATTTGATTCCACCAAAAAGGTTCAAGACTACGTTCGTGGGGAGGAACCATTGTATGTGGTGGGCTATTCAAGCCAGCACCCAGCAGCCGGCCCAGCTCCACAACCCCAGCATGAATACCACTATCCTCCAGAGCAACATTACCACCAGGAGCATCGTCCTCATGACGACGGCCACCAGCATTGGCTACAGCCCCAACACGAACACCAGCATACGCACCAACAGTATCAAGACCAAAAACAACCATACCATGGCCACCACCAGCAGGAACAGCATCACCACCGAGAGGGGCACCAGTATCCGCCGTCCGAGCACACTGGGCAAATCCCTCAGCCTCCAGAGATCCAAGTTCATTCTCAGTCGGGTCAAACAACCTCTACAGAATTGCCATTGGGCGACGCACCCACTCCGAAGGCCACATCGGACTTTCGTCCTGTTCCTACAGTCGAGCAGAGGCGATTCTCTGCACCCCATGTCGAATGGGATCCCGCACGGTAGGTCATTCCCTGTGACATGTTGATGAGTACTCATCTTGAACAGAGCGCCTCCACCCGCCCACTCGAAACCAGAAGCCGCCAATTTCCCAACCACGATCTATGACATGTCGAGCGAGACGACGCTTTTTCAACCGCCTGCTCAATACCCAGAAGCGCCAAAGGACATGTGGTATCAGGTCCCTGAAAAGGTTCCCGAACCTGCGAAACCGAAGCCGATCTTCCCTTGGGAAACTAGAGCTCCCAAACCGACCCGAGTATTTCCCCAACCGAGACAACCTAGCCCACAACCTCCCCCTCCGTCGGAACCGGCACCCGAAGGCCCCGGAGAATTGTCAACTCCCTCAGCAACGACCGACGTCACCGGATTGACCGAAGAAAGCGTACCTACGCCACCTCCCCCGGCACCAATTGATCTTTGGGCAGCCTTTCAGCAAAGGACCAATGCATGGGACGAAATGCCTGAAATTGAGCGCTACGTGCAGTCGATCAGTCAACCTCGAAAGGGCAAGATACAAGTCCTGTATAACACCCTCGGACAACGCTCCCCTCGCAATGTCAGCGGCACCACCACTCCAACAGAGAGAGACAGACGACGCCCGAGCATCAGACTAACAGACTTTCCCACCAAGGACGAGCGCCCTAGCTTACCTGTGACTCCCGCGCCAATACGGCGACCGACGTTCTGGGGAGAGGAAAAGGACGAAGAAGGGACCTTACCGACCGCGGAAGGAGTACCAAAGCAAGAAGACTGGGTGCGTCGATTCTCCCACTACCCTCAACCCGAGTTTCCTGCTTCACATCCCCCATCGCATGAAGTGCATCGTGTTTTGTATTGGAGATGCCAATATTGTGGGAAACAGAACCCGATTACAAAGTTGGAACAACTGCAGTTGATGCAAAGTGAGGCGTTATTGTCGCCCACAGGGCCTCGGGAATTGGCGGATGTGGCAGAGCTCCCTACAAGAAAGATGCCGGAGAGCTCGACCAGAGAAGAAATGGAGAAGGCGGTAATCTCGCATATTTCACCTACAAAAGTGCCAAAGGCGCCCAAACCCATCTTGAAGCCCCCTCACTTTGAATTGGGACAGGAAGTGGTAGGGTCAGCGGAAGATTCTACAAGGGATGTTCACCAAGACAAAGATTCGTTTGAACCCTCATCTGAGATTGTGCAATCAGTCCAAGAGAAAGAGACTTCGATTGATCCATTGTCGAGGCCGGCTGCTGATGAGGAGGAGGTTACCCCCGAGCCGGAACCAAGAGCCGTTGTGGTTCCTACGACAGCATGAAGATGGAATAAAATGGAATGGGATGAGTGATGAGGAGGTTCCATTAAAAAGGTGGGGATTTTTCTGATAGTTGCTTTGCAGCATGCTTGTTGTCGAGGTTGAAAAGGCATTTCTGCTTATTTCTGATGGATTTTGGCGTTTTCGATTTGTGCACGCAAATGGAGCATCTTTGGACGTCTAGTGTGAGGCCGATGAGCCATTGCCATGGGCTTATGAGTTCTTGTTTAACGTGTATCATTATGTTCAACAGCATTGCATTGCATGGCAAGCGCATCGATTCAGTTGCTGCATTTGCAGGCCTGTTGGGCTGTGGTCGTTGTCACTGGCACATACATGTACTCTAATTGGTCGCTTGAAAGACCTAATAGAAGTCCAAGACGTGGTAGTTTTGGATGTCATATTAATGCTTACAATAGAATAGGGGCTTCTCCCAATGTTCAGCCTCGGCTTGGCGCACGGATTCAGCCTTGTTTCCTTTGTGTGCGAGGCGGATTCAGGCAACCTCCTGAGTTGCCGATGATCTGTCCGCAACCGCGCCAGTCTCCTAACTATATTGACCGAGGATCAGAGAGGACTTCCCCGGACAGTCCATCTCAGTATGTCGATCATTGCTTAGCCTTGTTACAAGCTCTCTTCTGTACCAGGTATTCCTGCTTGATATCTTCCTGGTGGCGTTGAAGGCGTGGTCGCTGGAATCGGTCTTATTCGCACCGCGCCTATCGAGCATAAGTTACGTACACAATAGCAACCACGCGACGAAGGGACAGAGGTGGTGCACTCAGCATTCTAAGAAACCAGCAGGCGGACCATCATTAACGTCGAAATGGCCTACTCAATGACCCTCAAACTCACCGCCTCCCAGCTTGAAGAGCGCCGCCATCAGCTGGACCGTGCGGGTTTTCATGCCTGGCTCTCTTCCATCATCCTCTTGGTGGTCGTCTATCTGTACCGACGCCTCTTCCATTCTCTGCTCTTGTCATCGAAATCGCCGTTGTCGCCGTCTGGCTCCCAACAAGTATCGCAACTCCAGCTGTTCCTCAGACGAGCGGCATGGGTCTTACGGGTGACATATATACCCGAATTCGGGCCCCTGTCTGTCCAGCTTGTCGCCTTGGTATACACAGGGTGGCTGCTTTCCCTCACATTGCGCCACACGGGAGATGATTACATGCACCTTACCAAGGCATTCGGGCACGTGGCCATTTCTCAGCTTCCCATGCATTACCTCCTCTCCCTCAAACACACCACTTACTCGCCTCTCGAGTGGGCTACGGGTCTGACGCACGAACGCCTCAACTCGGTCCATCGTATCTTTGGTCGCTTGGTGCATGCTTTTCTGGCCGCTCATGCCATACTGTACCTCCGATTCTTTGTCAAAATGGGTCTTCTGCCGAAACGGATCAAGGATCTTGATGTCCGGCTCGGGATCCTGGCGTTTTGGATGTTCAATTTCTTGGGGTTGCTGAGTCTGCCTATGGTAAGGCGGAAAATGTACCATGTCATATTCTACAGGGGTCATGTCCTGTTGAGCGCCCTTGTCATTCCGGTTCTGTGGGCACATGTGCCGTATACGCGGTTCTATGTGGCGCAAGTTGCCGCGATTTGGATTCTCGGAGGTTTGTTGAGGAGGAGTGGGCTAACGAACGTGGAAGACATACAATGCGAGAATTTACCCGGCACGCAGCTTGTGAGAGTGAGGCTCCTTGTGGACAAGAAGAGTTCATTGGCGAGTGCTGCGCCGGGACAACACGTCTATATTCGCCGTCGCAAGGGCGGCGTAATGACGGGTCCGAAGACGCCGTTTTCAATTGCAAACGTACAGCCCTCTGCAGGCCAGGATGGGAAGGCGGAGACGGTGGAAGTGATGTTGGTGCTCCGGAACATGGGCGGCCCGGGAACTTCGTTTCTGGTTGCCGCTGCGGCTTCTAAGAAGCCCAGGCTCAAGGACGCAGCAAGGGATGAGATCCAGATTGAGGGGCCGTATGGCGAAGCCAGCGTCTATATGCCTTCGATCCTCGGCTCGGATGCCACCAATCCTGTCCTTCTTGTCGCCGGCGGGATTGGAGCGACGTATGTCTTGCCCATATATTTGGCACTACTGGCCTCACGGCGCCGACGCCGACGAGGAGGAAGGCAGCTCATCAAGATGGTGTGGCTGGTCAAGACCCTCGCCGATGCGCAGTGGGGCCTTGAGTTCCTCGCGAGCCGTAGTCGAGAAGGGCTCGAGCTGGATGTCGACATATACATCACTCTCTCCTCGTCCACAGACGGACCTGATATCCCGACAACCTCCTCCTCTCTGCCATCGCTCTTGAAGAACAAAGGCCTCAACATCCACCAGCTCGGCCACCGTCCCAATCTGGCCCCTATCATCGACGAGGTCTTCCTCGCCTCTTCCTCTTCCTCTTCTTCGTCTTCTTCTCCCGGCTCGCTAGCGCTGCCCGATCCAGATCCCGAAGAAGTTACTGTCTTTGTGTGCGGGCCGCGCGGCCTCTCCAGCGCTGTACGGGGGATTGTTGGACGCCGGGTCATCAGCGAGGGCAGGAGGGTGAGCTGGTTCGAGGAGGTGTTCGGGTTTGGTGGGAGGTGAGTTCACTTCGGTTCTTGTGAGGGGGTAATATTCCGTATAGGTTTGATATATACATATTGCATGTACGAGTATACGTGTGTGGGTGTGGGTTATGATATTCTCTGCTATGGAATTGATAGACCAGTTTAGTGCTATAGTATTAGATGAGATAATATACTATGGCATGGTTACCGGGTAGGTTACACTGTGATATTGTTAGTATTGCTACGCCGTAGCATTCTCAACGCCCGAGACTAATACACCTTAATATGATATAAACTATACACATCCAATACTATGCCATGCCATGTCTTGCCACACCATGCTATATGTTCTTCGCCAGCCCGTGCTGTCGTCGTGTACGTGCTGGACCGTATCGTCCCTTACACAATCTCTGTCTCTCTCGCCATCTCACCCGTCACCCTTCCGAAGTGACGAAGACGGCAGACCCCGTAGAGTACGATCATGGGACGCGGGGACAGAGCTCACCTCCCTCGACTTGGCTCGTATCACTGGGCACGACGACAAACAGGGCTCACTCACTCACTGGGCATGGAACCAAACAGAGCTCACCCACCAGGCATGAAACCCAAACAGACCTCAGTCACTTCAACGGCAAAGAAACAAACGGAGTGTATAAATACCCCATGTGCCTGTCTTTTCCCTCCCTTTGGTTTCGCTTCTTTTTGTATACCTCGAGGTCCTCGCCGCAGGACATCATCACTTCTCTTTCGTCATGCTTGGCTTCGTCGTTGGAAAGCGTCCATCGTGGAAGCGAAACCTTTTGCAAGCGCAGACGAGATCTGTGATAGCGCCAGAGACACATCCATCCACACCTACACTCACACCCACAACCATACCCACACACATATCCATAGCACGGCTCAACCACCCTCGACCTATGCGGGGAGGAGAGAGATACCGTACCTGGCCCCTCGGTATATATTTCACCGTGGCTCCCATCCAAGCTCGCAGCCAAGCAGGACTCCTCGTCGTCAGTCTCGGTCTCTGTCTGTTGTCGATCTCAAGACCAGTCTCAGGCGCCCCGATCGTCCATAGGCACCGGCATCTCCATCGAAATGCAGCAGCCCCTGACGACGAACTCTACTCTGTAGGGACACCGAGTGCGGTCGTCACGGAATCAGTGACGAGCGTCCCCCGAGCCGTGCCCGACGACGGTCCCCCGATCGTGGGGACGTCGATGAGACTGTTCTCCTATCCCGTCGAGACGTCGTATATCTCCAATCCTCTTCGCGAAGAAGAGGAGCAGGAGAAGGCACCCACAGCGGTCTTTGACAAGATCGCCGACAGGACCCGTCCGCTCGTTCGCAGCTCTGGTGCCGGCGGTGGCATTCCTCCGCAACCGTACCCGCCGAACAAGTCGATCGCCTACCATTATTCCGGGGTCTCTGACTCGGTTGTTGTCTTCTTTCTCGCCGCCGTCGGCTTCTTCTTTATCTCTCTGATCTGGAATCTGTACGTCCGGTACGGCTGGGCGCGGGACAAGGCCATGGACACGGACTTGGATGCTGTGGGAGCCATGCGGTTGAGATCCCTGTTTGGAGAGAGTACACCCAAGGCCAAGGGTAGAGGGAACGCTGGCCGCTGCCCGGGGGGCTGGTTGCGCGCAGCTAATGAGGCGCCCATATCTGATTCTGCCGTCTGAGCAGTCTTTTGACCAGTTCGACGTGGGACAGTCGGGAACATCTTGTCAGAGCGGTCGGTCATCTACACAATCCAATGTAAAACCATTTGACTGGACAGAAGCTGTAGACAAAAGACGCCAGGAATGGAGGCTCTCCTATGACAGTATTGAGCTAATCATAGGACAAATATCAGCTTCTTCGAGCGATGAGACCGTGCCATTCTCTTGTGATTGAGCAGTTGGCAGAGCCCGCAGGACGGCCACAGCTTGCGCTGGAGGAAATAGTGACCTCTTAGCTTTTTAGTAATTGTTCAGCTGACCGTAATGGAATGATTGTGCCGGTGAAAGGTATCCATGAGAGCCGTCACCCTTTCATAACGTCTTCGACATCAGAGTGAGATATACCGAGGAGTATCATTCCCGGATCCGTCATTCTCGAGGTATTCAAACCAAATAGTTCCCAAAAACTGGTTAATCGTCTCAGCCAGGTATTCACCAGCATTGTGATGTATATCCCTTGATGGCTGTCATGACATTGTGTTCCGGCATAACAATGTGGCTCGAAGACGATAGCGAGTCTCATCACCAGCGAAGTCAAGCAGATTCTGTCGCCCGCGACTCACTACCCTGAAGATCTTCTTGAACGGATCGATTTGCTTGGTGACTGGCCATCTTCGAAGGCGAAAACACAAGGCCCAACGACTCAACTTTGACAGAGCGAAAATGCAAACGCGAGGGTGAATCGCGAACAAATATAGCCGTGGCTTGACTCATTTGCAAGTACAAGTAGCTCTATGACGTCGAAGTCGTTCTCTTCTCAGAGTTGTGACAAAGGGCATACTCTTGTCAGATTGATTGCACTGGCCGATAGTCCTGCAGGTGATGTATGAATGGTGATGGCTTGGGGCTCATATAAATGTCTCCCATAGCGAGGCCCACTCTTTCCCATCATATTCTACCTACCGTCAACCTCCGACCAGAAATATATTTGAGCACGCGCCTCTCAACACTTGCAACGATCTGCCATTCGTCTGACACCGCTAAGGATAGCCCGAATCGGTCAGGCACACGCGAAATCTCAGAGTTCGGAATTGCGACAATGAATGGATGGATGATTTTCTTTATCGTCTTTGTGGTCATCTGGGCGATTGCCCTGTCTGCAGTTTTATGGAGGAAGAGGCAAAAAGCCATAGCCAGGAGACAGGAGCAGGAGAGACAAGACCAGATATTCACGCATCAGTAAGACTGCAGTAGCAGTCTGCCCTCGAGCCCTGACGTGCTTGATGTGCTTTAGGAGCTTCCCTACGGTGATGAGAGAAAATACTGGCCGCAATCGTGTCAACTGAGGAATCACTGGGAGAGGGTATCCAACAGGGCTCAGGAGTGAAGTGCTGTTGTGGATGGGACGTTTGCTGGCCCAGTGACGTAGCCAGATCTCGGAGGCGATGCATATCTGCTTTGGTATGTCAGCTGTGCTTGTGTCCACCGCTATCCCTTGCAGGAGACATCAACAGACATCATCAGGACTATCCACCCGACACACCCACCTCTGTAGGAAAGCAACACAGGCTCCCGTATTAACAACATCGTCCACATACAGAGACTGGGAAGAAGGATCAACATGGTCTCAGGCCTCACTTGGGGACTGCTGTTGGTGATCGTCGGCCTTGTCTTCGAGCCATAACCCTTGGTATACATGTACAAACTCCATCCGCACAATCCTTTAGCCAGAGGACTCCAGCGAAGGAGGGCCGACGCGGGCGTGTCGAATCCATAATGGACAGACCGTTGCTCTGCTATGGACGACCACAAGGTCGTGACGATGAACATATGGAATCTCCGAACAAATTGCCGCTCGGCACGAGGAAGTCGGTCAAATTGCTGGGCTTGGAGAAAGGCTGTCACTGATAGAAGGGAATTCCTAAGACTCGACCTTGAGCAAGGTTTCTCAAGGACGCTTATCCTCGGGATTCATTTGTGACCTCGATGGTCTTCTGCTGTATGTTAGCTGCCCATGCAATTGAGCACCACACAAAATTAGAGGCAATTGATAGCCAAATGTCTTGGGCAAACAAAACACCGTGCAAAAAAGGGAAAATCAACGTGGACGCTTAGAATGATCATGCTTTGCATTGGGAACTCCACATTGGCCCAGCTCAGCAATGATCTGCTGTCGTCTTTCACAGATGGGCTGGGAATGTGGTGGAATTTCGTAGACAATCGTGTCTCCAACTATTGCATGGTCCGTGGAGTGAGAACGGCAACGTAAAAAGCAGGCTGTCATCAAGGGTATTTCATGGTTGCAAATGATCCTGCTCTTTGGTCAACTCGCCGTGACGGTTAGCAATCACGAGATCAACATATCCACTGGGCGGTACGATGACAGTGCAAATCGGAGATCCTTGGAGAAAGTGAAAGCTGATGGTGACGGCTTGGGGAGGAGGGCCAGGGCAAGCCTACAACATGTCTTGACCGTTGACAGCCGTGGGAAAGTCCTTTGAGTGGTCTCATTCTTATCCTCCTGGCTGTGTGGTGTCCATCCAGGAGGTGTGCAGAATCAGGCCATGAACTTCCCAGGGTCGAGTAATGGAGCCGGTTTAGCTTTGGATGATTGCTCACACTCCAACCCTCGCGCACCTTCAAAGGAGATTTTGTGGTGTAAAGTGAAGATCTTCCAGGTAACAGGCTCAATGTCAGCCTCCAGTAGCCCCCCAGCTCGAATCCTCGGTCCAGAACACTGCCTCAGTCTGACGCTGGCGACCATGCAGGTGCGACAACATCCTTGTCTCGACCGGCTTCGCGTTGGCCCAACCCAATGGCGACAACTCCTCTAAGATCTTCCTGGGGATCTCTGTTGATTTGGACGAGGACGGTAACCAGAGAGCTGCTCCAACGAAGCCTACATGGGGCCCATGGATGATTAGAGGGCCAGGAGGGCCCAGAACCCGGAGAGCTAGGGCATGACCATGAAGATCTTGAGGTGATGTGTTGAACTTTGTCTTCTTCCGACGTTGATCCGCGAGTTTGCGATCGATCGTTGGGCAGACGTCTTGTCTGGGTTGGCAGGGATGATGGAAAGGCTAAAGAGGAAGCAGAGAAGCTCGCCCAAAGTACGGAGGCACCAGTGGTAACGGGGAGAGGTAAAGCGCAGTCTGGCTCAACACTGTGGCAGTGAACAGCGGCATTCCAGCCTAGTGCCAGGTGAGCCTAAAATCTACCACCACCAGACAGCCCCCCCCCAACGCCTCACTAGCACCCCTCTCCCCCCCCTTCACCAGCCTGGCCAGTGCTGTAAGCTGCCCTTCTGCGTGTCTCCCTTGTCCATCGTTTGCTCCATAGAGTCGACCATCGTGATGTCCTTCCACCCCTGCGCTGCCACGCGACTTGCCTGCAGCCATTGGAGTCTACCTTGTGTTCCCCTGGATGATTTGTGCGCAGACTGCAGCTGGCTTGGACAATCCAGTCATCCTGGAGAGAATAATGGGCTGATGATGCTCGTGTTCCCGAAGATGGGAAGGATCTCACCTCGGCATCCTTCGTTGCTAGTGAGGCAGGCGCCATACTGAATGTGAATTCATGTGCATGAATGAAATCCAATGTTTGCTCCTGGCCTCTGGTTCTGACGCCTTCCTTGACAGTCACGACTTACTCGTCTTGTCTTTGTTTGCCTCAGAAAGGTCGCTCTCATCAGAAACCAACCTGACCTCTCGTCTCAAATTCCACGCATCGTTGAAGACTCTCCGGAGGGAGTTTGACCAGTCTCAGCTCCTCATGAACCTGCGTTCCTCAACGGAGCACCCCTCACCATGGCTTCAACCTTCTTAGGCCGGCTCTTTGGCCAGGTCTCCTTCTACTCGTTCGGCTTCTTCAACTGGTGCCTGTTCCTGGGCCTGTTTGTAAAAAATGGAACATTCTTCAGGAAGGATAGTGAGCAAGAGAAGCTACAATATGCAATTGGTCAGTGAACCGTTCAATGGCTCCTGGAAGGAACATGTTTGACACGTTCGTTTCACAGAAAGAGATCGCTTTTGGAACCTGACCAAGTCACCTCTCCCTGGCTTCAAGCACTTCTTCTACACCCTCCGCAACGACCTCAGACTCCACTATATCAGCAACCGAGATGGAGCGTCACAGGGCAACTTGGTGATATTCTTTCATGGATTTCCTGACAGTTCGATGATGTGGAGACATCTGATGCAAGAGCCGGCCATGCCAATACGTGATGCTACCCTCGTCTGCGTCGATTTACCTGGCTACGGGGGGAGCGACAGTTTCAAGAGATACGACACAGAAGTTCTGGAGGCTCTCACGGAATTTGTTGTTGCCATGAGGGACAGGTACATCCCGACGGAGGACTCGGACGAGACTAGCACATTCATCGTGGGCCATGACTGGGGCTGTGTTCTAGGATTCCGTCTTGCTGCAGAAGCTGCTTCTCTTGCCGATCGCTTCATTCTGACCAACGCGCCGCACGTAAGTTATGACTCTCAATTGCTGTCTGACGAGACAACCTGACCTGCACCTAGGTTCAACTTGCCTTTGCCAATAAGGATCGCATCCTGAACTCCGCTTCGAAAATCTTCAAACAGTTCAAGCACTCTCCAAAACAGAATTTCGGGTGTTTGTCCAAGGCCCTGCACACGTTGAAGCCATTGATGGTGCAAACAATGTTAATGGGCTACATTTTCGCATTCCACCTACCATCGATCTTTGTCAGGTACCTCGGCGTTGCTGGGAACTATTCATTTATCCGAGGTGCAAACTGGTCTTCGTATGGAAGAGGCTCAAAGGAATACCATGCCCCAGAATGCATGGCCTCTTCTTTCGGCCCCGGTCCAGAGGAGTGCAAGACATCGATTCCGGCCGTCAACGGCAGTACAAATACCACCAATGGAGAAACCCAGACAAACAGCTATGGCGCCAGTGTGCTGCAACGAGCTCGATCTCCTCAAGAGGCTTTCTGGAATATGACCGGCTATTATCGAGATGGGGTGGGTTGGCGTCCATGGACCAAGTCGCTGGAAACAATCACCGACCTCTACGCTCTGGAGACCTCGGCATCGGAATCCAGTTCGCCCGGCCGACGTCGGTCTTCAGTCTCGCAGTCTTTATTTGTCGACCAGTACAAGGGAAGTCTCAAAGCGCCTACGTATGTCCTCTGGGGAGAGAAAGATCAGGCTTGTTCCAAACCGATCTGTCTGGACGGAATTGGAGACTATCTGGCCAGAGACAGTGAAGTGACGCTCCTCCCGCGAAGCGGTCATTGGACTCCAATCCAGAAAGAAGCTCGGCCTGCCCTGGCCACCGTGATTGGGTTATTTGCTGGAAGAGGCGCAATGCCTGTGGCAAAAATGACCACCGAGGTGCAGAAAGTGTATGAAGGGGCGGTTTTGATGGTGAAAAAATGAAGCTTAAGTCAAATGAATCGATGATATTATGTGCTCTTGTATTCAGATGCGGGACCCGGGAGGGGGTTTTTTTCTGTATGATACCAGTTATCAGCGGCGTGTCCATGAGTTGCTCATGAACCCAGGCGAAAGAGAGCTCATATGCGAGATGAAACGAGTATTATTGAACCCACCTGATCTCACACTGTCCCACTGTCCCCATACTCACATTCAAGAGCTAGTTAGCGCCCTCGTCTCCTGGCCAAGATCCAGAACGACCAAAGTGTGAGCTGCAACCCGAGAACCATGAGTATCACCCCCATGACCGTCAAAGGTAGGTCGTGTTTGCTGTAGCAGGATTGGTTTGGTGTTGTGGTTCCTGATGATGAGGGGTCTGCGCGCGGCTCAAGGTACAGCGGTGTGTGTGTCTCGGCCATCGGATGCGCTTGACTTGGGCTTATGAAAGAGATACAAATTGTAGCCGAAGCGAGGAATACGCCCGCAAGAAACATGGCGAGGAAGGCTATATGGGAGTGCAGGGTCATTGTTCTGGTACAGCCTCGTCGATGAGAAAGAGGCACGGACACGGCTCTGTGCAATACCTAAACGAGCAGGTTAAAATTTGACTGACTGACTGACAGAAGCAGGACCGAGAATTGTTGTTCTGACCTGGAATATGGCACTACTGACTGAGCGACTCGGTGGCATCCAGGATCTGAGATTGGAGCTGAACCGATCTGAGTGTCTCGAGGACCGGAAAGGAGGTTGGGTTGCAGACTGGACTCGACGTTCAATGCCTAGTTTCTAGGCAGCGAATGTTTGTAGTAGTATGTATAGAGTACTTTTTTTTTGGAGGGAAATCCGATATCGAGGTCATTGCATATTGGCCAGCAGCTTCTGTGGCTTGAGGAAGGCTCGATTCGAACAGGACAGCGAACGCTTCGTCACTCCTCAGACCCGTCCCATCACGCCGGATGATCCGACCTTGGGACGGACAGTGGCGGACCGATGTGGTTTCGGTGATGCTGGAGAAGAGGCATCTGCCTTGCTCCGCCGCCTTAGACCCGGGGGCTCCTCTCCTGTCTGTCTGTCTGTCTCTCTGTCTGTCTGCCTCTCTCGCGCCCCCGCGCGAGGTCTGTTCCGGTGACGTGCCTTGCGTTCTGGGACCGTGATGGCATGGCCCTTATGACTCGTGCTCGTGCCCGAGTGACACGGATATGATGCATGTGAAGGACGATCAAAGGAAGAGGACAATAAAGCACTTTGATATGTATGCGGAGAGACCCTGAAACAGAAGCACGAGGCAAATCAATCAATCAATCAATCAATCAATCAATCAATATATGCATTTGAAAACAATGAAAACCGTACCTGGTTCTTTTTGACGCCGGTATGCCCCCCCCCCCCCCCCCTTTCCGGCTCAAGGACAAGGACAAAGCATGTTACATTTACATGTGGGAAATACCCGTATCCCTCCGCGCCCGGCCCGCCCACACACTAATTAAGGTGGTAAAGATATTATATGGATGCTTTGTCTCTTCCCATGGCCGATTTTGAACCGTTGGCCGACTACTGCACAAGGGGTCAGGATGGGTTCAAGTCCCAATTCGCTCGAGCGCAGGCGCTTGCGTTTGCGTCGCGCACTCGGACTGACCTTTGGCTGGTTGGCTGACTGTATCGATGCTTTTCCTTCCTGCCGGGTCTACCCTTCCCATCCGTCCTGGTTCTGATCTCGCCCCTCAAGCGCGCAGTATGCCTGAGATACTCCTCGGCAGGTGACAGGGCTGCGTCTGGTGGCTGCCCATTACCTTGTCGCGCATATGGAGACGGTGCTCTTTGAATCCCCGTGCTCGTGACAACTCCGGCTCCGGCCGCCTTCAAAACTTGCGGCATGAAGCCTGTGTTTGTGTACCCAGACACGGCGTGATCTTGGTGGGCACTTAGAACAAAAGTTCAAGACAGCAACAGCAGGTCAGGGCGGCCAGGAAGGCTGCACAACACCCTTCAGCCGCGGCTTGGTCTGGCGATCGATCGTAGTATCCCACGGGCGGGCCCTGCTGGTAATACATGCCCGGTGGCGGCGGTCCGTAGTATCCGTAGGGTTGCTGTTGGCCCTGCGGACCCTGCGGCGGCCATGGGCCTGGGGGACCTTGGTTCCAGCCCTGAGGCGGCATGTAAGCTCCATTGGGAGCTTGGGCGGGAGGGTAAGACTCAGGCACAGGCCCGCGTGTGGTGTTGACGGGTACGTTGGGCGGGTAGTATGGGCCGGCGTCGTGGTGGGCTTGCGGCGGGACGGTCAGGGCTCCGTTGGGAGGGGGGCCGTTGGGCGGTTCGTATTTGTTGTTGTTGTCGGACATGATGAGCTGCGGAAAAATGGAGGGGAGGCAAAGAAGGACTTAGAAGGGATAGAGAAGAATATGTCGGGGCTGTCAAATTGTACCGGACAGGTCCAAAGGATAAGATGCGCTGCACGGTTGCCAGGTTCGTTAGAAGCCCGTGTGTCTGCGGGGTGACGAGGCTGAGGTTCGGAACAAGGCTGTGTGTGGGGGCAAAGTGAACCGGATCGAATGGCCGTTTCCCCTCTCGAAAAGTAGTGTGCTGGATTTTCAAACACAATTATCTCGAGTAATGTAATGGCAATTAGTGAACGTTGTTGCAGTCAGTCGTGTGCTTCAAGGTGATAGACAAGGGATGCCGCTTCAAAAGAGAAGAATAAGGAAGAGTAGAAGACGGAGGATGTTGCGCAAGGAAATTTGTTCATTCTTTGATTACGAGAGCCCCGTCGGGGCGGTCGGCAAAGGCAGAGAGATCTTTGCTCAGCCATTTGGTCCATGTAAGTGTAGCTGCCGCGGCGCGCCGAGTTCGGCTCTTCGTTTTCGACGGGAAAAAATATTGGAAGTGGTTTATGTACGGAAGTATGTATTGTATGCGGAGGATGGTTAAACCCGCTCGCCAGTAGCCTACATACCTACTCCGTACTCGGTACTCGGTACTACAGTCGGAGTGGCTATTTGAGGACCTTTGAGGACCCTAAACAGTCTCGAGCGATGCGACGAAGTTGCGAACCCCCATCACATCCATGACGGCCATCACCAGCGCTGTGTCACTTGGAAGAACTAATAATTACTTGAGAGAAACCCAAGGGTGCAGCCCACGTGCCTAAGAAATTTGTTTTTTTGTCTCACTCTTCGCTTCACAAGATCGTTTTGCCGGCAAGACGGAAAAGTCACGGGATGACGGTCGTAAATCGTGATGATGAGCGATGATGTGCGAAGATGAAAGATGGTGGAATTTGCTGGCTCGCCGCGGCACCGCTCAAAGCCTATTGAAGCACGTCCCGCCTCTGCACCACCTGCCCTGGGCAGTGGGAAGTGGGCAGCAGTGGGCAATGGCCATCCCTCTGGTCCCTGCTCGTACCCAATCGCCTACTCCATCAGTCATCGCTCTGGGCGTTGCCTCCCTCCCTCCATCCCTACCCCCAAGCTCCCAAAGGTTCCCAAACCCCCATTCTACGCCCATGAGCCCATCAGCATCTCTTGCCGCTTGGGGGTGCCACTCCTGATGGGAACTATCGATGGTTAAGCGCTTGGGCGGTAGGCCCGGGCCCTCGCGCTCCCCCCCTTCTTCTAGCAACTCTAACACAAATCGAACGCGTCCCCCCAAAATGGAGATTCACTCCGTTCTCTGGATGTATTCCCTCCGTACAGGTACATGTCTCTGAAGGCGGTCAGGTCAGTTCGCATTCTTGTTTCTTTTTCTTTCGGAGCGAAATTCCCATGTGAAAGTTAAGATAATCATGCTGCACCAGATAGGTTGCGTTGTTGGGCCACCTTGCGTCGTATCCCTATCTCTTAGAGTCTCACTCCGCCCAAGGCGAAGCATCAAATAATACAATCCCAAAGGTGTGTCCCGGAGTACGGAGTACGGGTATGAGTACCCTGTACTTTGTTCCACAGCACCACGGCACAGAATCTGAAATCGCAGGGGTGGGATAACCCCACTTCTCTTCTTCTTCAACAACAACAACCATGTCCAGTACAGAGTAAGGGACCGACCACCAACGCCAACACCATCACGAAACACCAAACACCCAACGCTCCCTCCTCGGACCTGGTCGCCCGGGATCGACTGGGTGGATTTTTGCTCTTGTTGCTATCTCTCTCACTCCTTCGCCGTGTGGGTCCCCCTCTGCTCAGGGCTCTCACCTGCTTGCTCATTCATAGCCCTGTTCCGATGCGGCCATGATGATATGTGAAAGGGCACCAGCACCAGCACCAGCACCAACACCAAACACCACGACCAGGATGCTCCGGTGGGGGGTCCGAGCGACGCAAAAAAGAAGCCACTCCCTGGCCACGGCCAACCTTGTCGGCGGGATCCCACGTTGTTCCGTTCCGCCTTGCCGCGAGCGAATACCAGTCTCACAAACGGAGACTGGCTCTTGTCAAGACTTGTCCAGCTCGCAAAACAGCCTCACTAGCCTTATCCTTATCATACACCACAATCGGACGTGCAGCGCGCATCAGCAAGCCCGCCTTGCCTGCCCCCAGCAATGCCAGTCTTGCCGGCCCATCAAAGATCGCTTGTGTCGCACATCAGCGAACAAAAACAACATCGTCGGGCATCCTTGGAGGCTAGCAGCACGCCCCCCAAGCCTCTCCCGATCCATGTCCATTCTGCCTGCATTTTGCCGTTTCCTGCCATCCCCGATTGCTATCCGGCCTCTGATTCGGCACTGGCCCCCCTCGACAAGGTTAACAAGGTCCATTTGCCTGACAGCACGCAGGCACATGCCTCCCTGACTCTGTCTTGCCGGCAGACGTTCTCAGTTGAACCGAAGACGCACTGCGCGGGCACTATCGGTCCTGCACCTCAGCATCTGTGCAGATAACGACCTTGCGTCTTCGTTCCTCCATCCCAAATACCCATCCGCCCAGCTGATAAACTTCTCCTGACCACCACAGTTGGTTATTGCGTGCCAGTCTTCCAGGCTCTCGAATTTTTCCCCTTCCTCCTCTTTTCTTCCTTCTTGATTCCTCGTCGCTGATTCCCGGTACAATGAGCATTTATCTGTGGTACACGTTCAGCTGGAGTTCTTTGAGAAAGAGCTTTGCGCCGTGGTAACACCCACCCCACAAAACAGTTGCGTATGTCACCCATGCCCACGGTCGCTCACCGTACCTTGGACTTTTTTTTATGAAGGCCAGCGATAACGCCCGTAATGGACGCTGACAGGTTTCCAGGCTCAACGGTGCACTCTCAATCCAAGTTTGCCTACAGCGATATCATAAAACTGGTGATATCGCCCTCTTCGGAGGGTGAGGGGGTCTTCCCCTTGACAAAACCTCTGGATCTTGCGGACAGCTTCATATGCATCGCACAGATCACGTTTCTTTTTTTTTTGCCGGAGTCGTTGATCGATAACCCGGGCGCCTTTCTCCCTGGCCTCGATGTTTGGCTCGAACGCGTTGCCGTTACCCCCACCCTTTGCCCACGAACATCGCCCTCTCCGGTTGAACGCTGAAAGCGCCCGTCCCCTCCCAACCGGAGAATGTCGATATCTCTTGTTACACCCTTCGGCACAGAATCAACAGTGTTCATGCCAATCGTTCCACCTTAATCGAAGCGCGCCTGGGAATATCTGTGAATGCGGCCATCAAGCCTGCTACCACGTCCACCAGGAAAACAATAATAATGAAAAACATATGGATAAACTCAATGCTGTTCTTGATAAGATAAATGTCGTCTTTGATAAGGTCAAGCGTTTGGAAGAAACCATTCAGAATGAACGCAGCAATCGGGATTCTGCTTTACAGAGAGAAAGACAGATGTGGGAAAGAGAAGTTCGCATCTTGCGTGAGGCGCTCGCCCCTTTTTATCAGAGCGAAAAAGAAATGCGTCGACGCATCGTCGACATCGAAGATAGAGTCGAAGGCAATTATGACGAGCACGTCCGCCTAAGAGATCGGGTCGTCGCCGTCGACGATGCCACCATGTCAGTGGAGAAGAGGGTCGAGGAGCTCGAAGATTTCCGCTTCAAGAGGCGACGTCTGGGTCGCAATAACACTCAAGACCAACCGTCGCAGAATGGCTACATCTCGTCCGATCCTGATAACTTCAGACGGGTGTCTTCCAGCGTCGACGGAGGTTCGGTTCGCACGCCTTCATCGAGAGCATTGTCGCCCAATGGGACCGCGCCTGCTCCCGCGCCGGAGCCGGAAGAGCCTCGATCAAGTGGGATCCTCAACCTTGTCGCTGAAATGCCCCGTCCTGGGCCTTTCGCCAACCTGCCGCAACGCCTGTCACCGCCACACGAGGAGCCGAGATCAAGCGGCTTCTTGACGTTAGACCTGGGAGAACGACTCAAGGAGAAGCCTGGCTCAGAGCAAGTGGCAGCACAGGTCGCCATCCAGTCGGCTTCTCGATTCACTCCGCCTCAGGATCGACCAAGTCCATCCAGCTCTGCAAAGTCCAACCCGGACGTCTCTGCCACAGCTACGCGAACTCCTCCTAAACTCCTCAACACCAAATTGCCAGTCATAGATGTGATGGTGCTCCCTGGCAACGTATCTCCAAGAAAGAGAAAGCATCATGTCGACCACATTGCTCTAGATGTGCTTGCGGATGTCACCGTCGCCAGTCCACTCATTCACTGATGACCACCCTTCAATTCTAGCTACCTCACTCATTTCCGCCCTTCCACCATTATGATGTGGTAGCCATGGCTTGTTTTGACCTCGGCATCTGTGGTGGAGTGGTCAGCGAAGAGGACCAAAAGGCATTAAACGGTCATTTTCGATGGCAGTATTGGCACAACAGTTTTCATTGCACACGCCGACTTTCTTCCTTTTTCCTTCGCGGTGATCGAAATAGCTTAGGAACGCTCATTCTGTGGCTCAGTTCCTCTGCTGTACAGGTAGACATCAAACAGTAACAACACAATCCTTGTAACCAGTCTCAGTAAACGAGATAAGGAATCAGACTCACATTTGGGATTTGCTGTTGTGGAGGGTTCTAATTCGTAGGCGACTTTCTCAAAGTCTCCATGCAGGCTACCTCTGGTCTTCCAGCCTAGCGATCCGCCTGCAAGAGAATGATAACGATTTTGTCATGTTAGCCCGTGCTGACTGACGGATTCGGCCTCTCGCTGACGCAAAGGACCTGCCGAAGGAAGGGGTGATGACAAGTTGCACACTCCGTACCTTGTCTGGCCTTATCCTCTGAGAACTCCCTTGCAACGTCATCGAACTTGGCCCCTTCGCGCAACTTTGCCAGGGCTTCCTCTTTTTTGGAATGCTTTTCGCACTGTGGAGGGAGTGAGGGTTAGATGGGTGTTGCCTAAACGGAGCACGTAGTA